ACTCACGTACACCGGGCGAGCACACACACTCGTACACTAGCCGAGAACACACACTCGCGCCACCGGGTCATGTCATATGGGTGTGGCGATTAATAAGCTCCAATATAAATGTTAATACCGCACACACTTGATTTCGTACGAGTTCTTGCGTGCTCTTACCTCTTCATAGTGCATCACACTCCGACCTCGGGGGACGTGTCACCCGTTCAAAAGTTTTTACTTGCGGGTTCAAACTACTAACCTCGGGCGGCGAGTTAAACTCTTGTTAGGGGTCTAAAGCCACGCTCTTCCGAGCAATTTTGTCACTTAATTGACATTCACATTTCCCGAAAAGGTTGATATACTTTAGTTCTGTGGGGTTGGATTATCCGTTCGAATGGTGACTCCGAGTCACTTACTCGCGGATTCAATATTCCTTTCGGAGACTGGGTTGAGGCCTAACTTGGGAACTTGATGTCACTCTTTTTGAGTAGTGAGTCTGACTCACTTACTCGTTGAGTCGTGGTTCAACACCGGGCCAGATGCTCTATTCTACATTTGTTGCTTTTATGTGTAGGTACGACTGAACGAAGACGAGCCTGATGAGTCCGAGCCCGATGAGAAGAACGGTTCTAGCCATCCTCTTCACTGATGGTGACCATTGCAATAGAGGCTGAAGATTTCACCCTTTGCTTCATCTTGGGGGCATCGGGTGTACTCTTTTTCCCTTCATTAGAATTTTTTCCCATTGGGTATTTTCCTAATGAAGGGTTTTAATGAGGCATCTCCCCGACATGGACAAGGGCGGAGATCTTCCAATCTCGGAGAAGAGCAACTGACTTTGACTACTCCCTCTTAGCCGAGTCTACTACTCGACTAAGGGAGTGTGGGACTCGTAATGGAGTAATGGGACTAGGCCCATAACCTAATCGGCCCAAGCCCCGAACTTGGACCCGTGGATCTAAGTCCACAACCTGGAGCCTGCCTACCACCCCAGCGGGGAGCCTGCCAGTCCGGCCGACCTGTCAGCCAGGAAAATTAACGGACAAGCAATTAATGCGCTGTTTAATTATTTATTTAATTTCGTATTAATGTTGTAATTAATTAGTCATTATTATCGATAGCGGTTACGATTTGTATACGCCTATATAAGTTGCGCTGTAATTCAGATTATGGGAGCAATTTCACATGCTATTCTTGGCAACTAAAACCTCTTGAGCACTTTCCGTATTTGTACTGCTTTCTACTTTCCTGCTTGAGTGTTCTTTCGTAGCTTTCCTAAAAGCCTACGAGCGTCCTATTTTGGACCAACACATACTAATTTGGGTTTTTTACAAAAATATTACTAAAATAAAACTTACTTACATAAATATGACTATTCATTACTACAACGTAGTGTTGTAGTAACTTAAGTTCAAAACTTGAACATGAATTACTATGATTTCATTACTACTCTAGTAATTAATCATATTTTTGTAAATCATCTTGATTTTGGTCATATTTATGTAATTATTTCTTTGATAAAAGGGTTTGAATTGATATACGTGTACTCTCTCATTCCTCTTGGAATTGTCTCATTTTTACTTTATCAATTAAATATTAACCAAATAAATTACTTATTCTAATAACCATGTCACTCATTTTTGTTCCACTGTTAGTGGGACAATGATAATAATAATTAAAATAAGTAAAATTTGAATTACTTGAATATCTCAATTGTGTGCGTACAGACCATCTACCTTCTAGCTTTTGTGCGGAGTATTATTAAAAAATCTACAAAAAATTATAGTTGTATATTTGGTACGACAATTTTTAAGAAAATTTTTCAAAATAAAAAATCTTTTTTTTGAAAGGTTAACCCGAGTAGCATTAATGTTTGTAGTTTTTAACATTAATTAGTGACAAATAGTTTGTTTATCAAACAGAACTAAATCAAACTGTCAACTTTTTTTCAAATACCTATTGCATTTTTTTATCTGATACGGAGTACATTTTTAATCACTGAAAATTAAACTCGCAGAAGTATCTTTTCAATTAGTTGTGCAAAAAATATCCTAGATTTGTTAACAATTTTGCCTTTTCACATATTCTTTTATTTATTAATAAAATATATTTTAGATATTTGTATGATTCAACTAATTCATTGCATTTACCCGATCAAGTCAAGTTCAATATTACCAAATGAACTTTTTTTTGGAAGAATTAGGCTTATATAGATAACACATAATTCAAATCATGGATGAACCGACAAAAAAGATTACCAAATGAACTTTAGAAAGCCAAGACGAGGTTATATATCCCTCAATAAATCCAATATAGCCTTTTAAGAACATAGAATTGGTATAGGTACCCCAAACCTACATCATTTTTTACCCCATATCAAAACCCTCCCCCACTTTCCTTCTCCCCTTCCACCCTCCCCCACTTTTCTTCTCCCCTCCCCTCTCTCCTTCTTTTCATGCAGCCCCCCCACATCCCATCCCCTTTATCTTTTCTCCAAATCTTGTTTTCTTTCCCTTTTCAATATCTTTGCCCTTCATTAATACTTCTCATTTTTTCCATCTCCCCCCCTCCAAGCTTCTTCTACTGCTTCTTTCCTCTTCTGCCTTTTTTTTTTCATTTCAAATGCCTGAGCTACAGTAATCGGACGAATGGGGAGAGCTCCGGTGATGTTGTATACATGGGGAGACAACAATGAAGGTGCAGACCAAGAAACTTTGAATGACTTGAGCAGATCTTATTTTCTTGATTTTTTTCTTCTTGATAAAAAGAGTTGTCCGTCTGATAGACAACTTGTAAGTGCAGTGTTTGTATCTGTTAGTAAGACTCATGAAGTTGTCTGTCTGTCTGTAATTGATGGTTAATTGTTTGACATTTGTTTTGAGTTGTCTGTATTTGTTTTGATTTGTCTGTATTTGATTGTGAGTTGTATGTAATTTGTGGTGTTTATTTTTTGAGATGTAATTAGTATGATGAGACAGACATTAAATACATACATACATACATTACTTTATTGTGAATTACCATATTGGCATATGTTTCATAAAAAAGACAGACAATACGTATAACTAGACAGACAATATAGATAACCAGACACATAATTTTTCATCACAAATTTCATACAACTCAAAATGAAATGACAAACAACTAAATATGAGTTACAAACAACTTCACGACTCTTACAGACACCCCACAACAACATGGCAGACAATTAAATATCAATTACAGACATTATTTTTCAAATGACAGACAACTTCACGACTTTTACAGACATTGCAATTACAAGTTGCCTGTCAGACAGACAACCCCTTTTTATTTCGAAAATACATCAAAAATCAAGAAAACAAAATCAAGAAAAGAAGATCCGCTGCTCAAGTTATTCAAAGCTTCTTGGTTTGCCTTCATTGTAGTTGTCTTCCCTTGAGGTTGCATCCGAAATGGCAACCAGCGTAGGCCGGCCGCTGGCAACATCACCGATGGAAGAGGAGATAAGCAGGAGAAGATCGAAGGTTGAATGGGGGGAAGATGGTAAAAATGGGAAGTCTTAAAGAAGGAGAAAGATATTGAAATGGAGAAGAAAGGAGGAGGGAGGGGGTGCGTGAAAAAGAGGAGAGGAAGAGAGGAAGAGAGGTGGGGGTGCAAGAGAGAGGGAGGGAGGGGAGAGGAAAAGTGGGAGAGGGTAGAAGGGGAGAAGGAAAGTGGGGGAGAGTTTTTATATGGGGTAAAAAATGGGGTAGGTTTGGGGTACCTATAGCAAAAGTCTTAAGAACATATGTCTACATCCAAACAAAAAAAAATAAAAAGCAACATGTTTATAATTATACTCCTCCTATTTTATCACTGGCAAATTTTCGTAAAGTTCAACAAATGGCAAAATAGAAATTCCTCTATGTAAAGAGACCAAAAATAACTAAAAAAACACAAATAGGACCACTACATTTTTTACCATCCAAAACAGGACAAAACAATTCATCCAACCAGAATGCCCCTAAGGGTATTATTTCATAATAACATGTTATAATGCATAATAAAATCTTAAAAATAGTAAAAGTATTTTTTTAAACATCGTTCAAAAATAAAAAAAATAATGAAAAAATTTAAATTAAAAAAATTATTTTTTTTTTATTTTTTTTTTAAAATTTAATAAAAAATAGTAAAAAATCATATTTTTTTTGAAAATATGGATACCTTTCCCACCGCCTCCCAGATCCACCACCTTCGATCGGTAAAATTTCTGCCACTTTTTATAAAAAATTCCATTTTTCCCAAAAATGCCAAGAAATGACATAATTACTCTTCATAATGCCAAAATCTCACTGAATCTGCCATTATTATGGCATTACTAGAATCGTTGGCAGATTTTTTTTTTGATTATTTTTTGAACAAAATAATAAAAAATAGTAAAAACCTATAAAAAATGGATAACTCCGATTGATGCAAATTCTGCCATTATTTGTAAAAAATGCCACCGTTTTATGAAAATGCCAATAAAATGGAATTATTACTAATCATAATGCCAAAATTATCATTGAATCTGTCACTATTATGGCATTACTACAAATTTTGACAGATTTTCAACTGGTGATGGGAGGTGGTGGTGCTGGGATGGCAGAGGTGGCGACGTTTTTTTTACATTTTTAATCTTTTTATTAATTTTTAATTTCTTTTTTAATTTTTATTTTATTTTATAAATATTTTATAATTTTTTTAATAATATTTGACATTTTTTATTATTTATTTACGTTTTTTTTTAATTTTTATAAATTTATTATTAATTAAGACATTTCAAAAACCTCAAGGGTATATTTGTCCAAATACACATAAATAGGGGAGAATAAAAAACATGTAGATCTATAACTCTATTTGTGCTCTTGGGTCATTTTTTTTGACAATTAGTTCATAGCAAAATAATTAAGTAGTAATATCCCAAAGATTTGCAAAAGTATTTTGAAAAAACAAAATGTGATATTTTATCCATTCAGAAAAGTAAGGGGAGAAAAGACCAAATTTGAAGCTCATACAAAAAAAAGGGCTGCCATAACTAATATGCGGACCAAATTAGCAAGTGATTCAGAATGATTGCTCCACTGCCCGATTAGTGGCGGTAGTGGAGGCCAACGCTTCTCATCCATCCGACCAAGACCAATGTTTGCGAAAACTCCCACCCGGCAAATAATAATCACACTAATGAACTGAACAAAACCCAAACACCCAATCCTCCCTTTCTGCTCTCATGTGCCAAACTGAATCACTGATACTTCCTTTTTGCTGTTACTTCCCCTGCCAAACGCCCATTTTCCTCTTTGCCTAGAATGGTTTAATCTCCAGTTCCTCATTCTATTAGCACACATATTTTGATAAAACAAATAAATTGCATTTTTGGCTGATCGTCTTTCTTGGCTCTAAGACATGGTTTCTGCTTCTTCAGCTTCGATATGTCTTCCGGCGACCTCTTTGGCCGGAAAGGGGGCTGATTTCCGGTCTGGGTCTACTGGATTGTTACTCCGTAGTAGCTTCCGGGTATCAACCCGATTGACGTCTCGGAGGCCCGTAATTCGCTCCGACTTGGACTCCATGGTTTCTGACATGACTATGAACGGTAAACCTCTCCGATTCCTATATTCAGCTACGCGCTCTGTGGGTAGTTATATAGATGGAAAGTTGCGAACTGAATAAAAATCTTCTGCTTTCTTGTTTATAAGGTTCTTTTTATCTTGTTTTTTTGGCAAAATTTTCAGCTTTCTTACATTTTTCTTCTTCTTGAAAGTCTTTTCTGAGTTTATCTCACTTTGGAATTGAATTTGATTTTGTATTCTATTAACCACTTGAGGTTAATATTGCACTTTTTAGCAAATGACCATGATATTATGGCTGCTTATTTAAAGATGAGAACTTTCTGAACTTAGACAAATGGTTTGGGGGGGGGGGGATCGCAGAGTGAGGTAATCTAACAAGAGTATCCTTTTTCTGTTTTTTAAATCCATGAATGTTTTATCTATTTTACATGCTTCACAAAACTTGCAAATAAAATTGTATGTAAATCTAGTATCTAATATTGCTAAATAATTGTTTATTTTCAGCTCCAAAAGGGCTATTTCCACCTGAACCTGAGCACTATCGAGGACCAAAGTTGAAAGTGGCAATCATAGGAGCTGGCCTTGCAGGCATGTCAACGGCAGTTGAGCTTTTGGATCAAGGGCATGAGGTTATGACCTGGCACACCCTCTCTCTCTCTCTCTCTCTCTCTCTTGTGGCACCCCAATTGAACAATAAAACAATACAGATGACAAGTTTATTATCATATGACTAATAAAGTACTGATGGTCACTTATATGCTTTAACGTCAGTTTACTGATTTCTCTAGGCATAAAATGTCATTTGTATCTTTTGCAGGTAGACATTTACGACTCTAGGTCTTTTGTTGGTGGAAAAGTGGGTTCGTTTGTTGACAAGAGTGGAAATCACATTGAGATGGGATTGCATGTATTTTTCGGTTGCTATAATAACCTATTTCGTTTGATGAAAAAGGTGATTGAAGATTACATCTTGCAGCTATATTTGTTGCATCCTTATACATTTTGATCAATGCATAGAATTCTTCTCTCTTATCCACTCAAACTCTTACTTCGTTCCCACCAAATTTACATTATATGTCAGGGCATCCTGGGTTAGCCCGAATCAGACTTTATATACATTTGCCTGATGTATTTCTTTCCATTGGTTATATGATATGGCTCTACAGCCTGCATGATTCATGATATCTACTTAGGATACTAGCCTAGGGTGTGCAAGTATGTGTTATATCTTTCTAAGTCAGTTTAAGCCTGTAAAAGACAATAGTTATTTATGTGGAGTGACAGAAGTCAGAAGTAGGGCAATTGATGATAATTTGCACTTCCAACTAGATATAGCCATAGGTAATGCTAAAATCTCACATTGGATCATAAAAGAAAGAGTGATCGGTATCGTAAGACAACATGTTTATTTGGCCCAAGTGTCCTATGAACCAATTGAGTGACCCCAACCCAAATCTGAGCTGTATTCCAATAGCAACTTGTAGCACAAACTCACTCACTATTCAAAGTCTCCCTCTTATGGCTTTTATGGTATCCAAAGCTCTTTCAAGTGGGTTTGGTGTGCTCTTCAAAGTTATATAATTGGTGCATATTTTGATGCTTATAGTGTTTACTCTTCCCTCTTTTCTGGTGCAGGTGGGTGCTGAGAAAAATCTACTAATTAAGGATCATACTCACACCTTTGTGAATAAAGGGGGTGAAGTTGGCGGTAGGACAATATTTCACTTTTCAGTTTAACTGTTTGAACTTCCAAATTTCTTTAGTATATTTGGGGATCATTCTGCCTGCTTTGTGATACCACAATTGGTCATTACTATTTCATATATACAGTCTGTTCTTGACTACAGAGCTTGATTTCCGGTTCCCTATTGGAGCACCACTGCATGGAATTTCAGCATTTTTGTCCACAAATCAGTTGAAGGTACGGTTTTTTATGCTAGTTAGTGTGTGTGCACTTGGGTGGGTGTGTACCATTAGCATAGCTAGGGGTGGGTCAACACAGCCCATAATCGACCCCACCCCAAGCGCTCTAAAACACTCTGTTTTAAATGTATTTTTTACTGTAGAATATTATATGCAAGGACATAAAATGAGCCTTGAGGAACTTTGCTTTTGCCTCATGATGCATAAGCCATCACGTGGTGAGCAGAAATTTTAAATATTGATGTGCCAAATAATTTTCCATCTGGCTAGTTAGTGCAAATTGCACAATAACAAATATAATGGGTAATAAAATTCCAGGGTTCATGAAAATAAGTGAAAGTTTAAATTTTAAACTAAGTAATCTAAAAGACTTATGACTTGAGAAGTTGAGAGTAACCACAAAAGTGTATTGTTTCTCATTATTCTAGCCGGATGGAAAATTATCCGATCGAACACATGGAGAAGATAAAATGTAGAATAGGAGAAGATAAGCACATAATATCGAGGCAGCTGCACAGGGAAGCTGAACATCCAACCTTATGTTTTTCTAAATAAAAATATAAAATTTGTTTAACTAAACTCAAAGCAATCCAGAGAAAACAAAACTCATTGAGTCAGGATATGCAAAAGAAAGTGCATTTTTAAAATTATAGGATCATATGAAAACAAAAAGGTCTAAGCGTCTACTTTTTGTGAGGCTACGCCTCATGCACTACACACCTCTAAAAATATATGTATACATACACGTATATAAGTATGTTATTGTTCATATAGGGTACAAATATATTACTTCAAACAGGTGTTAAACAGGGGCCATATGCACAAATAAAAATTATCATTGTTTTTATGCTAATAATAGGACTCACTCAATCTTAAAAAAGAATAAAAATAGTTCATAGTTCTTCCTTTAGAAGTGGATGATTCATATTAATGATATCATTGCATTCCAACCTTGCTGTCATTGAGCTCTGTATGCCTTTCTATGTTAATCTGATTCTGGATTCATAAAGGGGGTGTTTTGAACTGATTCTGATTCTGCTTCTTTTTTAAAGTAGAAGCAGAATCAGAATCAGTTTTCAGAAGCTGGTCTCCCCCAGCTTATAAAAAAACTGATTCTAGGAGTAAACTAGAGCACCAGAATCACTTCTACACTTTCACCCAAACATTCCAACTTCTGCTTCTACTCCCTGAAGGAGCAGAAGCAATTTTAAAATCAGATCCAAACACCCCCAAAATCCTTTTTTAAACGGTGTATTAATATCATGTAGTTATTAGGTTGGTTTATAATATCTTCCATCAGTTTTCATATTACACCTCTGTCATGTATCTGAACTTTTCTGTGTTATTGCATTCCTACACTTGATGTGAATATAAAACAATATTCTTTGCCTAAACTCCTAGTTTCTTCCTCACCTTCATTGGCAGCCATATGATAAAGCCAGAAATGCTGTAGCACTTGCCCTTAGTCCAGTGGTTCGAGCTCTAGTGGATCCAGATGGGGCAATGAAGGACATTCGTGGTTTAGACCGAGTTAGATCATCTTTATGTATTTATTAGTTCTTATTTACAAATGATTTCGAATAATTTTATGCCTACAACTTTTGCACATTTTTGTATGGATTCTAGCATGACACATATTGGTTGGATGGTGAGAACTAAGACAACTTCTTACCATCCAATCATCATGTGCCATGTAAGAATGTAGCTAGTAATTGTAGGCAAGTGTATATATATCCTTACTCAATGACTTCATTTCTGTTCCAGGAAAAGGCTTGTTATTTTGTTTAATTATATATTTATATGTAATACTGGCATATTACTTTCAGATAAGCTTCTCCAACTGGTTTATGTCTAAAGGGGGAACACGTGCAAGTATCCAGCGGATGTGGGATCCTGTTGCCTATGCTCTAGGATTCATTGATTGTGATAATATTAGTGCTCGATGTATGCTTACTATATTTGCACTGTTTGCCACTAAGACAGAGGCTTCCCTCTTACGGATGCTCAAAGGCTCTCCGGATCTTTATTTGAGTGGTCCAATCAGAAAATACATCGAGGATAAAGGAGGCAGGTAAAGACCAACATCCAGAACTTACTTATTTATCAATCATTATTATATATTGAAGTTCTGATTAGTTTTTTCTCTACATTGTTTAGTTGTAGTAACAGTCAGTCTATGCAATTTTCGACGCGATTTTCACTATGGGTCATTCGGAAACAGTCTCTCTGTGCTTTAGTACAGGGGTAAGACTGCGTACATCCGACCCCCCTTTACCCCACCGTAGGTGGGAGCCTTTGCGGCACTGGGGTAATGATGATGATGATGATTGTTTAGTTGTAGTGAAAATGGTTCTATGTTTTTTTTTGGGGGGGAGTGCATCTTGGGTTACTTAAGAAGGTGGAGTGATGCATGATTTGGAAGTGGATAACAGGCGTACAAGTGAACTTTTTAGGAAAGCCACAATCCTAGGGGACTGGGCTGCTGGTATTAGATTAGACATATTTCTTTTCATTTTAATGATTTAGTTAGATATGAATAAAGTTGACTGATTTTTTTTTAGTGAAATACATATTCATAGTCATTAGATTAGCGGAGTCGGGTATTTCTAAGTCAAAAAAGGATAATTACATAGAAGAGAGACAAGCAGAAATCCAGACTAAAAGCCTATGGAGTTTTGGTGTCAGCTTATGTTGTGTTTCTAAATTCCGATCACGATTCTTTTTAAGGAAAACTCCCGAAATAAGAGAAAACGTTTTGGAAATCCAAAATAGGAGTACTCTGTTTTATCCCCTAAATAGGAGTAATTGCTTACAATCATGGGAAATACTGCCACGTTTAAAGCATAGTGATGGTTGTGATGCCAAAGCATGGAAGTAATTACTCCTACTTTGGGAATAAAACATAGTAGTCCTATTCTTGAATTCAAAAACGTTTTTACTCCTGTTTAGGGAAATTTATTTTCTTTGTATCTTTACAAAAATATTATCATTGGCCCTTCAGGTAATTAGTAGACTACTTTTCATTTTCCCTTTTTTCTGCAGGTTTCATCTGAAGTGGGGATGTAGAGAGTTACATTATAAGAGATCTTCTGATGGAAGTACATATATTACTGGTCTTGCCATGTCAAAGGTCAATTGCTTCTTTCAAATTCTTTTATTATCCTTTACGGTGTCATTCATGTTAAACACTAACCCTACATGTAGTGGGCTTAGCCCTATAACCCAAATGCTAACACTAGTTCATGAATTATAGGCATTAGTGAATAATGTATGGATTTAGACAATTACTACAAGCAACTGTTCTCCCTTCACAACTATGCAGCGCCCGTGCCTGATGATCACGGCTGCTACTCTGCTACTATATAAATATGATTTTCGACTAATTATTTTTTTCTGAGTTAAAACGTAGCGATATGAGACTTCAGAATTGCCTTCAGGCCTGGGGTAGATTTAAAGTGAAGGCCGGACAGGTCTTCCCAAAAATTTAATTGTAAGCTAAAATATTTGTTTCTTTCTCATTTAAGTCATAGCAATATTTGCTTCAAGCACAGGCCAACCTAAATTTCTAGATCCTCTTCTTCATCATACCTTCTAAAGCTTGTAAATTTGTTTAGATTTATATTTATCAATCCCTTAAAGTTCTAAAAGCTAACAAAGATAACAAGTGGCATTTAAATGCATTTTCTCTCTGAATTCATCACCTTGGACGAGTGGAAGACCATCATTTAATATTCTTTCATTTATCTCTTATTTTACTGCTTTTCTAAGCTTCTATTATGTCACTCTTTTCTTTGTGCGGATACTTTTAATGTCAGTATCTCATAAAAATGTTGATTTTCATTTTAATCTGCAAGTACACGTCATTTAGCACAAGACCAACAGAGGCACTAGAGCTGCTCAATTACAGACTCAAAAGTGCACTTTAGTCTTTTGTCTTTAATGTGCATAGGCTTATTTTGTGTTAGCTAAAATGGCCTGTGTGTTTGACAATTAGTGATAAATAGCTCGATGCAGGCTACTCAGAAGAAAACAGTTACAGCTGATGCCTATGTTGCAGGTCTGTAGTTGATGGTAACCCGGTTAATATTTTTCTTCCTACCGCTCTAAGTTGAATCTTCTAAAACCTCACCTATCTGCTTGCAGCATGTGATGTGCCTGGAATTAAGAGACTACTACCTAATGGTTGGAGGGAATGGGAATTCTTTGATAATATTTATAAGCTGGTTGGAGTGCCGGTAGTTACAGTACAACTTAGATACAATGGCTGGGTTACAGAGTTGCAGGATTTGGAACTTTCAAGGTTAGCTTGTCTTTTAGCTAAGTTATTGATTTTATCTTGTTCATTGAAGTTTGGCTCACTGTTAGTTATCTTCTTTTCTCATATACAAAAGAAGGTTTAAATTTGTCTTTAATCCATGCAAATATTATGCTTTTTTTGTTTTAAATCCCTGCAAAATTATTCTTTTATTCCATCTATGCAATTTAGGCTATTTTCTTTTCTAGTCCCTCTCAGACGCTCCGACATCCTCCGTTTAACAATAAAACTGAAACAAGTAACATGATTTCAGTTTTACTTGTTTGTTCCATTCCATTGAAAAATGTTTTATTTCCAGAACCTTAAAGATAAGCTTCACTTAACATTAACTCCACAATAATCTGCAAAAAGTAATACGTAGAATAAGAATTGGTGTGAATTTTGTTTAAATGGAATTATGCGAGCCCGTGGAGTTTTTTTCTACGGACATTTTGTTAGACTTAGAGACGGAGTAAAGAGAATATAATACAAAGTACAGCGGGTGAAAAAAATAGAGGGAACTAAAACAAAAAGTGTTATATTTACAGGGACATAAAGTATAATAAGCTAAAAAAGAATGTTAGGTTAATGTTGTTTACCTCTCTCTATCAGACAATTGGTGCGGGCTACAGGTTTGGATAATCTCCTATACACACCAGATGCAGATTTCTCTTGCTTTGCGGACCTTGCACTGACCTCTCCTGAAGATTATTACCTTGAGGGTCAAGGGTCATTGCTCCAGTAAGAAAGGGTGCTTGAATTATAAGCATATCCCACTCATTAATAACTGTGTATTCCTATCTTGTTAGATACTCACTCCATTGCTCATTTTATTCTATTTGGTTAATAACCTCTAGATGTGTCCTTACACCTGGAGACCCTTACATGCCTCTATCAAACGATGAAATTATAAAAAGAGTCTCCAAACAGGTCTTCATTATTATTCTTGTTGTTATTGGTGCCGGTACTACTTGTAGTATTATTATTGGTATGGGCTCTCAAACCATCCATCTTTCTTTCAATGGTTTCTTGGACTCAGGTTGTGGTCCTTTTCCCCTCCTCCCAAGGTTTGGAGGTGACTTGGTCATCAGTTGTCAAAATTGGGCAATCTTTATACCGTGAAGGGCCTGGAAAAGATCCCTTTAGACCTGATCAGAAAACACCAGTGAAAAATTTCTTTCTTGCAGGGTCATATACGAAACAGGTAAAAATCAATTTTATTCTTGATAGTCATTTTATGAGTTTAGGATTGGGATGAGTGTATGTATAGTAAAATTGAATATTACATGGTCACTAGTCAAAAAAATTATAAAATACGTCCAGTCACTACTATCCTGTAAAAGTCATTATTTTGTGCATTACTTTTATTTTGGTCTATGTTTGTCATTATTTCATGTATTCATGTATGTATGTTGAAACATATCTGCACACACGCTCAGTTTAGACTTATCTCGATTTATTGTAACTGATGATAAACGCACAAGTATGTCCACAGCTATAGCCTATACTCCATATTCTAAATTACCACATTTCCTCAGGATTACATAGATAGCATGGAAGGAGCAACTCTATCAGGCAGGCAAGCTTCAGCCTACATATGCAATGCTGGAGAAGAGCTGTTGACTCTGCGGAAACAGCTAATTGCTTCTGGGAAATCATTAAACGGATCAGAAGCTGCTGCTTTATCTGATGAACTGGCTCTTCTTTCTTCCTCCTAATAACTTCCACACAGACAATACAGAAAATATACCACATTGATCTACATGGACAAATTGAAACCTCCTCACTACTTCCCTTCCCATTTTTCTTTCTTTACATATGCCAGTTTGTGCTATACATGTGTAATATGTACATGTTTACCTGTGTTAGTCTAAGTTTATCCTATTAGTAACCTTCATTGCTTCAGCTACAAAAGTACAAATGAGGTGTTTGCCTTCGGGTTCTAGGAGTACATCTTATGGGATTCGGTTTTCGAAATACAGTACTGCAAGTATTATGTGCTTTTCAAAAGGATTGTCTCATGTTGATTTATGGGAAGGGAAAGAACATAAGGGTTGCTATGTTATTGAGATCTTGAATTTCATAGCTTTTGGTTCAGGTTATATTGGTCTGGTCGGAATCTGGTCTTGGTCATGTGAGTTGGCTTTGGTTGCTAGGCATAGCAAAGTATTAATAATTTTCATTTCAGCAATGCTAACATGGCTGCAGGGGTGGACACAAGTTAGTTCGGCAGACTGAGCTTGGTCCCTGTTTTGCTGGAGTTTTGATAGGAGCTTGTAAGAGGATGTGACTGGTTCAATTTTACTGTTGGTACCAGTTCTCAGTTTCAGATTTTTTGGCTGGACTTTGTAGTCTATTGTAGTATGTATATGTTCGATGTTAAATGTCAATGTCTTTGATTGGGATGAGTTTTGGACTTGTGAATTCCTCATCAGAAGTGTCATGATGTCATGATTGTCATCAAACCACAATGTGTTATGCTTTCTCAATTTCAAATTGACAATTCCAAATTGAGGAAAGCCAAGTTAAGTAAAAATTATATAAATAAAAACACAATAATTGAAAATAAGAAAGTTGCAATTGAATTTTATATTTCAAAACCAACTTGCAAGCTTGCTCCAAAAAATATAAAATTGCAAATTTAGCACAATTTTGTTTTTGTATAACCGTGAGAATTGATTACATTTGTTTTAGGATTTATTATACTTTTAGTCGACTTAGTATTGAAACATTTTTTTTAGAAACATATAGAAAATGTACATGTGGTTAGATTTGTTTTTAGATAGGGTTTGTGTTTTATTTCTTAACAAAACAGGTCATATATTTAAATTTTGTTAGCATGAGAGGGCATCAGCGCCTAATGCCATTAGGTCCATTAGAAATAGCTAAAGGAAGATGATGAATATGAGCTTTGTTTTTCAAAAGTGTACGAAAAATTTAAAGGAAAACATTCAGGAAGTGTGCCTCATCAAGGTGACCTTTAGACATTTTTTATGTTTTGTTTCCACTTTTCATCGGAAAGTCCATTGAAAAAATGATGCATGAAAACTTGTTTTAAAAAATCCAATAATTTATCTTTTATTTTTGGAAAATTTGATTGTAACAATCCCAATTATTGACGGTCCGCTCATAATAATCTCAACTATTGATTATTTCAGAATAATTCCAACTTTAGGGACCTTCCGCCAATAATGATCCGACGTGAACAACTATAAATAAATTCCTATAGTTTCTAAAGAGGGATAACAGGTAATCCCTATAAATAATCCCAAATTTTAATTTTTACGCTTACTTTCTATTAAAAATTCAACTGTTATAGTAGGTAATATGCGGTCATGGACCATTATTGGCAGACGGTCCATATAGTTGGGATTACACAAAAATAATCAATAGTTAGGATTATTGTTAGCGGGCCGACAATAATTGAGATTATTATTTTCAATTTTTCCTTTATTTTTTTGAGGACTTTTGAAAATTGGAGTTCTTGTTCATCGTTTTGTTGTGACGATATCAAACGGTGTTAGACAACGGGCTTACTCTGTTGATAACTGAAACACCTGCTCTATTTGAAAACGGATTCAACTATTAGTACATCCCCTGTATATTTCTCTTTTTTCTTCTAGACTTCAACCCATAGCATGAATATATTAAGACACAGTTTGCGTTTGCTTGTACTTATCAAAAGTGATTTTTAGGAGATTATTGAAAAGTGTTCAAATGTAAAAGCATAGTGTTAGTAAATGGAAGTGATTTCATTTAAAATGTAAAAGTTGAAGTGTTTGATAAAAAATGATATTGATCCAAATCATCCAATATATTATCAAAGTACAAAAATACCCTTATACAAATCAAATAGTGAATCTAAATTGAAGAGTGGGATCTACTCCACCAGCTCTTCGGCCTCTCCATAGATTTGTCTACAAATAGTGAAATTGATACTGTGTCTATATATATGTGTGTGTACATATTACTCCGTATTATTTTAATCCAAATTTAAGAAATTTAATGGTTGTAAACAAACAAGTCCACAAACTTTCTACTGCTCCTTGCACCTCCATAACCGCCTCTACCAAATCCGGTGTCTTGTCCGCCGCCACCAAAGCGAACACCACCTTAATTGTGTGTGTGTATATGTGTGTATCAATGTATGTGTGAATGCGAAAAAAATACTTGTATGAAAGAGGAAGATGATGTTGAGGAAGATGTGTGTCATGTGTGTTGAGGAAGATGACTGGGACTAGGGGTGCACAAAACCGGTTGACACGGGAACCGGACAGGAAAAATCAGAACCGGACCGAATCGGACCGAACCGGAATGCTATCTGCTCTAGTTTTCGGTTATTAAAAAATACAATCCCGGTTTCCGGTATGTTCCGGTTGGAAACCGGATTATTCCGATTTGAACCTGATTAAACCGGTTTTACTATATTTTAATAAATACTACGTATTAATTAATACTTTAATATAAAATAACTATAAATTAAGAATAATAAATTAATAATAACAATAATAATCTTAATGATTACATTATATATTATATTATCTTAATGTTATATTCATCCATTTATTCTGATTGTCTTAATAATAGAAATAACTAACATTTACTCCATCTGTTCTACAATAGATGGTCTTATAGGGTTGGCACAAGTTTTAGAATATGATAAGAGTAGTGTAAAAGGTGTAGTGAATTGTGTTTGAATGAAAAGAAGGAAAGACAATAAAAAATTAGGAAAAAGAATGAGCGCATATAGGTGTATTTATTGAAAAATATTCTAAAATGGAAAGAGAGACAAATGTTAAAGAACATACCAAAATAGAAAGAGAGACATGTATTGGAGAACGGATGGACTATTATGTTTCTCAAATTACTCCAATCTTTCATCTCTAAAATTAATGAAAATAAATTAGTAGATAGATATAGCAATGATATCAACATTATTAATAATAAATAAATACTAAATCTTTATCAAAATATCAGGTGTACTTTTACTTAAAATAATTAATATTTAGAAAAACCGGTTAAATCGGTTCCGGTTCCAGTTTCGAACCGGTTAAACCGGTCCAATTCTGGTTAAAAGTTAAAACCACAATATGTTTGGTCTGATTTTTTATTTCTATTTTTTTTAGCAAAATCGGTTCTGGTTCTGCTCCGGTCGGGGTTGGACCGGTGCACACCCCTAAATAGAATCTTGGAGATGAGGGAACATGGCAAGAGAAATGGCAGTTTGGAAATTTTCCGGGCCTTGAGAAATGGCAAGAGATAAGGCTTTTGGATTCAACCCATCTTTTCTGGGCCTTGAATATTAAGCCCAATCCATGTTTTTGTTCTTGTTTAGTGAAGTCATGTTTTTGGCTGTTTGACAATTGGCTGTTGGCAGTTACCTGTTGCCTGATTTTGTTGGCTGATTGATGACAACAGATTCGATTAGCTGTTTTGATTAGCTGATAAGATTACCAGTTTGTGCAATGATGTTTGGTTAATTGGTCGTTTACAATCGGCTGTTAACTTCTTAAATGACTTTTAAAGACATTAATTAATTTTTTAATAATATAATCAATACAACTATCTTAAACCGTTAGTTTTGATGATTTTTTTTAAAGGAAACAACTTATATTATAATCAAAAGAGCCATAACATCAATCAAGACCCCAAACCAACAACTCCCAGTAGAACCACAATACCAAGAGTCCATCGGTTCCCTCACGTCATGTCTAGGCATAAAATAGTCCACCAGAAAAAGAGCAAGACTAATCGCTGAGACGGTGAGAGCTAAGTGACTATTAGCGGCTGTGACAGCCTGATTGCCTCCATCAGTAGAAAACCTACTCATAAACCAACACCCCACGACTCCCACTCCCTTATTGTAAGTAAAGATAAAAAAAGTAACAAACAAACGAGTTTTGAGAAATAAAAACAAAGCAGTAAAAATAAAATTCTAGGTGATGGAATTTGCAAGCTTCCATCCCTTGTGCAACTCCCGGCGCCTCTTCTAAGTGCCTGACAGGCGGGCATTGTAGCCCGCCCCCTCCCCGTTTTTTGGTGCGCCCATCTCCATGTTCATATCCTTTTGTGCAATCTCCTGTGTCCCTTGATCTACACGTCTGCGTTTCTGATCCACCTTAACTCCATTATGAGCATAGTCCGTGCCCTGCTGCTGTTTTCCATCTGCATCCGAGCTAACCATTCCAATTTCTCCCTCTTCTTCTTCTTTTCCTTTCCCATTACCAACTGGGACCAACCACTTGTTGCCTCCCACTGTTGTGTTGCCTTTTGAAGCTCTCAACTCGGATCCATAGAGGAAGCCTCCACTTTTGCCTTTACCGTCAGGGTATCGCGGGCAAAAACGTTTTGAATGCCCTATGACTTCACAGGCAAAACAGAAACTAGGTAGCTTTTCATACCCGAACTTAACACAAAAACTTTCCCCTTCATCGGATTGAAGAAAAAGTTTCCTCTTCAGAGGCCTGTTCAAGTCGATACTAACCCTTAGCCTCATATAGGGATTCCATTCAACAGAGAAATTCTGCTCATCCACCTTGACAAAACTCCCAACAAAATTCCCAATTTTAATGGCATTTTCCACAGTAAAGAAACCCATTGGCACATCATGAACCTGTAACCAGAAGTCAGCCTTATTCAACGGTACCTTCAACGGCAGATCACCTTGCTTTAACAGGACAATAAGATTCTGATCGAAGGTCCACGGCCCTTCCTCCAGAACACGGAACATATCATTTTCATTGTAAAATTGAAACATGTACCTTCGTGCACCTATCTCAGTAATAGTCACGCCTCTAACAGGCTTCTAAACATTGGCCATAGTGTCACGAAAAACAGAGAAACATACTGACTTTTCGGAAGTGATTGTTCCAACCAAGATCATCCCTACCTCAAGCCGCGGAGCTTTAGCCACCACATGTAGGACTTCATCTTCCTCCTCCATCTCCAATCTGTCATACGCTTTTGACAGCCTGTTTATCTCCTCCATTTCATTTTGACATCTACCATTTTAACCGCCTTTCTTTCACTGTAACCGTGAGTGATATTAACACGTGATATTATTTTAAACATGGCTGTCTCATGATTATCAACACGCTTATCAATACAATCTTGAACAGAAAGGATCGAAGCTTCTGGTTTCAAGGCCATCATGATTTATTTATTCTCAATTTTTTATTTTCATTAGTGCACTCCAAGGGATGAGATTGTTGTGGAAAGAGATAGCACCGATGTCTAACTTTGAAGGAGTAGAAACTGTCGAAGAGGGCCGCTTGTTCCAGCTTGGCTTTTCTCTACGGCAGAAATTATGTTAAATGTCCCGCACCGAAAACATTTAGATGAACAAAGTGCTATATTAACACATGAGTTACTCCTCCTAACCTTTTAGGATGGAACCCCATGTCTTAACATGGTATCAGATCGAGCCAAATCGATCCATGGTGTGGGGTTCCTTATGAAAAATGATGACACGATTATAAAAATGGCCAGATAAAAAAACGGACCGATGAAAAAAATGAATGATTGCACGATCCAGACGAAGTGCCTGGTCGTGAGGAGGGGTGTTAAATGTCCCACACCGGAAACATTTGAATGAACAAAGTGCTATATTAACACATGAGCTACTCCTCCTATCAAGTTGACCTTTTAGGATGGAACCCCAGGTCTTAACAGTATTGGTTGGATGAATTTGTTTTTCTCAGGCGAAAGGTTTTCTGCCAGTAGGAGGTAGATACGCTAAAAGAGGTGGGTAACATCGGAAAGTTGTTGAACAACCGGGTATAAACGCTACAGAGGTTGACGTTTTCATATTTTGGCTGTTAGGACAAAAAGCCAATTGAAAAAGCTAGTTAACCAAACAGTATTATTAGCCGATTGATCCGGTCAAAAAGCCAAATTTAGTCAAATCAGCCAAGAAATGGCTGATAGGCTTTAAACCAAACACCCCATTATCTTGCAGTTGACCGTAGAGAAAGACTTTCTTTTTTGTAACTTGCCCTTTTCTTGTATCATAACACGAATATCTATGAAATCGTATCAACTTTAGGTGTGTTTTAGACCTAACCAAGTTTACATGCTTATAAGATAAGAGAAATAATTGACACTTTTATGTTACAATATTTAATTAATTCATCATGTATGTACAAGAGTTTAAATTCAATACCTGAATTATATGCAATAATGTAGTATGTTATGAAATTATGATACAAAAATTTCATATGCATATGATAAGAACATGTTAAAATCTTCATGGTGATTTTTTATTTTATTTTACTATTCTTTCACTATACACAACTCCAAGTAGTAACAATAATGTACTCCCATGTCCCAAATAATTTTGGATAAATGGTTTATAAGGTTGGTTGAACATAAAGTCAATGATTCTCAAACAATTTCCAAAAAGTTCAAGTCAAATAAATGAATAAACTAAAACATATAAAATCTTAGTTTTAGATTTGTGTAGGAGGGTCTAGCACAGTAGCACTAACAGTTTTTGATGCGGCATACGTAGTATATTTGACACTTTTTGTTGACTTCAATTTTAACGAGTTTAATTGAAACGTAAAACAACAAAATGTAGAAGAGAGAAACAAATTTGAACATATATTTATTACTATAAATATATATTTTTTAGAATGGCCCACTAAGAAAAAGGTGACAAAGTGTGACGGATGAAATATGATTAATTACGGAGTACTTATTTTTTCATCATTTCTAAATATAATCGTATCAACAGTAATGATATCAAACTATACATATTCAACATTAGCAATTGCTTTTATTGGATAAAAGCAATTACTACTTCGTCCTACTAACCTTAGGAGGTGACGCAATTATTAAGAAAAACAAAATTTATGTTGTTTATATTGAATTAATAAAATAAGAATAAAATAAAATTATTTAGAACCACAGAAAATTTACCAAATTTGTTATGAGACAATTTTAGTAAGATAGAGCGAAAAAGGAAATATGGACAATCTTAACGGAACAAAATACTCTCTATGCCTTTGAATACTTTGTCATATTTTCTTTTTTACTCCGTATTTGTTAAAAAGAATTATCATTTTTATTCAAAATAATAAACATGTGATCAAAATAATTTCTTTTTTCATATACATAAATCTCAATCACACATTTTTTATTATTCTATATGTAAGTCAATCTTAGTCAATTTTGCGATGAAAGGAGTATCAACTATTATCAATAAGAAGTTGTTACCGTTTAGTAGGAGAGTCTGAAATGTTTATTTAAAAAAGGATGACACTACATCCATGAAGTGCCCTCTGTCTTGATCAGACAGTTAATCTTTGATCTCGAGATCTCTTTTTTGTTTAAAGTTGAACTCGGAATCTCTCCATTGTGGCACCCCTTCCTCCCAGGTGAGCTACGACCCCGAAACCCGCAGCGGCCATGTAGAGGTTACATCTCCTCCGTGCTGGGCTGAACCTCTGATACGCACGGGTACACGACCTACCTTCATTGGGTCGATTGAATCACCGTGATTTACTCCTTCACCATCCTGTCGGGTTGGAGTGTGCCGGGGCTCTTGGGGTTAGAGATTACACCTTTTGTGTATATTGAGCTACGACCCCAATTATAAAATGTGTATTTATGTGTGTGGTGAGGGTGGGGTGGACAATAATGGCCCTCTCTGTCTATATCTAAAAAAAAAATTATCCAAATGAGTGCAAGGTGTTCCAGTTAGCTAGCATGTGGCCTAAAATGTACCCTCTATTTCACGTGACGCCGGCCACTCTTCCATTTATTACGCCCCGATTATTAAATTGCTGCCTATTGTACAAACCAGCAACACTTTTACGCATTTGCCCTTCAACAAAATCCCAATCATCATTCAATCCCGCCGTGGCCCAGACAAAATAGTCTTTACATCCCTGATATTTTCTTTTAACTTGTACGTCGCTTTAGCGCCAGAAACGGTTGATGAACTGTGGACTGAAGTTATTGGTGATTGAAGATGGGGTCTTCCATGGCTGCTGCTGGTAAAAACCACGACCGCAGTTCAATCGAGGTTTTTCAACGAGATAAATCAGTAGTAGTTGAAGAAGAAGAAGAAGAAGAAGCTTCTATTGGCGGAAATGGAGATTTGCGAAGCAAGGAGGGGATGTTCAGTAAACGGAAGGTAGATTTTGGTGAATCCGCCGGCACTAGCAAATGTCAGACTCGTCTAGGATCTTCTAGATTTGCACAAAGGAACGCGGAATTGGGAGTATTGTCAACTGATGATGAGTTTCGGATGAGTGATGCGGGAGAAGGCAGCTGGTTCAAGCCTATCACCCATTGGAGAGGTTCATTTCGCGGAAGGAGAAGTAGCCGCAACTCGTGTGAGAGGAAATCTTCAGTAGCTTACTCGGAGTCATCTGTACGGACATCAGAGTCGTCTAAATACGGAAGCATGCCTCAATCGCCTTCTTACTTGCCGTATAATGAGGAAGTGAAGGATGTTCTGGCGACGCTTAAACAGACATTTGTGGTGTCTGATGCAACTAAGCCCGATTGTCCCATTGTCTATTCTAGCGATGGCTTCTTTACCATGACCGGTTATTCTTCAAATGAGGTTATTGGAAATAATTGGTAAGGGTGATTTATTTATTACAGTTTATGTAATTTAATGACTGACTGACTGTTACATACATCCATGTACAATTTTCTCTTCAAAAATTGAAGAGAAAGATGTGTTTATAGTTCATAATCCGCATTATGACTCGGTAGGGTGGGTGTTTCAATAAAATACTTGAGTTGCTTGATGTGGTGCAGTCGCTTTCTACAAGGCGCTGATACCGACCAGAAGGAAGTTGATAAAATACGGGTGGCAGTAAAAACAGGGAAGAGCTACTGCGGGAGGCTGTTGAACTACAAGAAGGACGGGACTCCTTTTTGGAATTTGCTAACAATAACTCCCATTAAAGACGACAATGGAAACTTAATCAAATTTATTGGGTAAGATGTCTTCCTGTACTGAGGAGCGACCATTGACTCCTTGAGAAAGATTTCGTGGCCTTTTGGTAGATTACTTGTTATGCACACTCTAGCCAAAATTTTAAACCTATGCTTGACACTTTTACCTATTTTTTCATATTATATTCTACTTTTGTCTAAAAAGAATCATGTTTGATCAAGTTTTTACTTTTGTGTTCTGATCATGTACAACTCCTGTTCTGACTTCTGACATGCCTGTGAAAACGTAAATTGGTTCACACAAAATTTGATTCTTTTGATGAAATGTGATGCTTGTTTTTTTTATAAACTGGGGGTCTTCTTTGGGGCGTAGGAAGTATAGTACAAGTATTATTTTTGTATCTGTGTATCGATCCAATTCACCGATTTCAGCCACTTCAACCAAAATTTACCCCATTAAAGTAAACTAGTCACGGCATTGTCGTGTTGGTGTCGTTGCTGAGTGAAATGCAATTTTTTTTTGACAGAATGCAGGTTGAAGTAACCAAATACACTGAAGGAGTTGTTGACAAGGCATTGCGACCTAATGGATTGCCTCAGTCATTGATTCGCTATGATGGTCAGCTGAAGTGTTTATGGAAATCATATTCCAACATTTTTTAAAACTGACATTCTGAATGTTCATTTCAGATCGCCAGAAGATAAATGCATTAGGTTCGCTAACAGAAGTCGTACAGACGGTAAAGAATCGACTACCACAGGCACAACCAATGAGTAAAGATTCCATGAAAATGGATTTTATGGTTCCTACAATGGCTGAAACTGAACTAATGAGTAAACATAGTTCACTAACCCTTCAGCGGGACCCCAAGGGCAGTTTATCTCTACAGGACTCTGCAAAAAGATCTAGAGAAACGAGACACATCTCTTTAATGGGGTGAGTGAGTAAGTCGCTATTTCTATTACCTGCTAGGCTAGAGGTAGATATGCTAAAAAGAAGAAGAGTTGTTTTATTCAGTGATCTCAAATTCCAAAGAGTAATTTCAAGTAGAGAATTCAGCTTTTCTTGATTGGAACTTTGTTTTTTCTCTGCAGGTTAGAAAGATGGTCTTCCAGCAGTGTAGGACAGAATGAAAGCAGAAAATTTGCGGAGCCTGAAATTTTGATGGCAGGTGAGACTGAACGATCTGACAGTTGGGAACATGCTGAAAGAGAAAGGGATATACGCCAAGGAATTGACCTTGCAACCTCACTGGAGCGTATTGAAAAGAATTTCGTGATTTCAGATCCTAGGCTTCCTGATAATCCAGTTGTAAGGCTAACTTGCAATTTAGTTTTACCATCTTCTGTGTTGTCTTTATGGGACAGTTGCCGAAACGTTTATGATTATAATGGCAATGCAAAAGTGAATAACGAATGATGTAGATTACAGTTTCATAGGTTGAAAACTTGCAAGTAACATGCAGATGTGTGTGTGTGTGCGCGCTCATCAAATTGAAGATTAGAAATGTGATTCTGTGCTTGCAGATATTTGCTTCGGATAGTTTTCTTGAACTGACAGAGTATAGACGTGAAGAAATCCTGGGAAGAAACTGCCGGTAGTAATAAAATACCGCATACTCCTTAATATCCAAGTTTAAATTTGTTACATGCATAGCAGGAATTGCAAATGTCAACAGCTTCAGAATTTTGAGTTCATTTCATATTATGTTTTTCTAATTAGTACTTCCCCGTAACAATGGTGTCTAATAGCTAGAGAGCTACAGGTTTCTTCAGGGGCCTGAAACCGATCAAGCAACTGTTCAGAAAATAAGAGATGCCATCAAAGAAGAAAGAGAAATCACAGTCCAGTTGATTAATTATACCAAGAGTGGTAAGCTACGACAGTTACTTGGATACAAATTTTATTGCAGCAGAAGTGTTCAAAATCTCTATTCAGCCCTACAATCTTTTATCAAAATCAAATTTGCTCCCCTTACATAATTTTCAGGGAAAAGGTTCTGGAATATGTTTCACTTGCAACCTATGCATGATCAGAAGGTAACTCTATGGTGTAACTTTTCTGTAGTTTCTATAGCTACATTGATAATGTTGTCTATGTTTTGTTACTAAACTGAATCTCTCATTTACAGGGGAACCTGCAATACTTCATCGGTGTTCAGTTAGATGGAAGTGATCATGTAGCACCACTTAGGGATCGCCTCTCAGATCAATCACAACAAAAAAGTGCTATCTTGGTACGTGTTCCATTCTTACCCCTGAAGATACATTGATATATTCAGTAAAGATAGCAATTCTTCTGTTGTTTCGGCTTTGAGGAGGGAAAATTGTTTTAGTCACTGTAAGGTAATATTTTTCCCAGGTTAAAGCTACTGCAGAAGATGTTGATGAAGCTGTGAGAGAGCTTCCTGATGCCAACTTGGTAAGGTATTCCTTTCACACTGGATTAAATTTTTGGTCTATGCTTTAGATGCTGTCTAATTCATTAGTCACTGATGCTGACTATTTAATGTGTGAAATTCCAAGTTCAGAGACCTGAGGACTTATGGGCCCTGCACTCTCAACCCGTCTTTCCTAGGCCTCATAGAAAGAACACTACTTCATGGACAACGATGCAAAAGGTAATGATCACCTCAAGTCCATAATACAGTTAGTAAGTTTTCTCATTTACTGCTTGCTTACACATGCATGTGCAACCTCCACCTTTCTGGCTTTCTTTGTGAACTTTATTTATTTCTCGGTAGAAAGGTATGCTAATATTGCACTTACTGATAGTGAAATTTTGATCATCTTATTTCTTTCAACTAAGAGCTTTTCTTTTTTCGCCCCCCCCCCCCCCCCCCCCCACTCAAGCTCCTACAATTTTTCTTCTGAAAAATGGTCTAATTCCCTCATTCATGACTTTTTAACATTGGTACACCTTTTGTGCCAATTAAACTATACTTCTATCTAAAGTCTCTGAATCCCTCTAGAGGCATCGAAGTCTTGACATGGTTGAGAATTTTGAATATTGTAGTTTGATCCTCTTAAGCTGTAAGAAGTGGCAAATTGTCGATTGCTAAATATTTTAACACGTTATTAACTTTCATCAGTCATCCTCAAATTGTCTACATTGCAGATCACTGCCAATGGTCAAACAATTGGCCTTAAAAATTTCAAACCTGTGAGGCCATTGGGATGTGGAGATACTGGGAGGTAATGTGATTACTTGGCAGAAATACTTTCTTAAAAAGTAAATTGCAATATGCTATAGGATTAACAATTACACAGAGCTTGAAGATTATATCTTAATTTCCATCTTGTCGGAACTGTTATTCATCCAATTGGATAACTGAACAAACTGCATATAGACAGCTGATCCAGTATATGTAAAGTTCCCTTTCTCTCTCTGCAGTGTGTATTTGGTGGAGCTAAAAGGCACAGGCGAACTCTATGCTATGAAGACTATGGATAAATCTGTAATGCTCAACCGCAACAAGGTCTGATTAAATATTGAAGAGTTGTGGCTGTATTCTTCAAATAAGTTTTTCAAAATCATTTTCACTTCATAACTAAGATAACAAACTTTCTTTTGATGAAAATGTTTGTTTCTTCCTCTATAGTTGTTTCCCTTCCATTGTACCCACTTCCCGAATTCTCAATCATTTTTGCCTGCAGCGCCATAAACCATGTATGTACGTGGATTACAGGTTCACCGAGCATGCATTGAAAGAGAAATCATCTCACTCCTTGACCATCCTTTCCTTCCAACATTGTACTGTTCTTTTCAGGTTTTCATTCATTCATACCTCTGAAATTTCGTCTTAACTATATTTATTGTTTTGCTTAATATATCCAAAATGTTCTCTTAGCATGATCTTACCTAAATTAATTGCTCACATTGAAGTTCTCAAATATCATATTGACATCTTTGTCTCGATCAGACATCTACACATATATGCTTGATAACTGACTATTGTCCTGGTGGAGAGCTATTTGGATTGCTTGAGAAACAGCCTATGAAAATGTTTAAAGAGGATTCAGCAAGGTATGTCGCCTAACTTCTGAAAGCATATTGTTTGTCTAATTCTTTTTCTATTGTGGCTATTCTATTCTTTTGGTAATCTTTGATAAGCTGCACGAAACATAAAACACCTCAGTAATCCACATCCACATTTTTGTAAATGCGTAGCTAATGTACAAGTTGAAACTGCACCCTAAAGCTCATAAGGATCAGTTATCAATTTATCGTGATCAATATTATGTCTTCAAGGAAATGAGACCAAATACATTTATTTTATTAAAAAACTTGTTGTTTTCTCGGGTGAGCTGCAAATGATAATTTTGTATCCAGGTTCTATGCTGCAGAGGTTGTAATTGGTTTGGAATACCTTCACTATTTAGGTACGCTTGCTAAATCTCAAGAAATAAATTAAATCTGTTCATCCAAAAAAAGAAAGGAATAATTAAAATACCAGGTTGTTTTTTTAGGGGAAGGGTATCTGTTTTCTGCCACATGTAGCGGTTATGGGTTTCACTGAATGAGTACCAACTCAATTATCTTCCTATCATAGACTCCATACTGATTATTAAGTGATAATATCAATGCTGTATTGGTCTTTCAATGCAGGAATCGTGTACAGGGATTTAAAACCAGAAAACATCCTACTTCAGGCTGATGGGCATATTGTACTAACTGACTTTGATTTATCCTTCAAGACCACTTGTAAACCCGAAGTACACAATTTCATTTATATATAATATATCTTTCAGCTGCATTACTTCTTTTTATGGGCTATTGTATGCAACACTGGTGGTCTACCTTGTTTTCTATATATGTAGTATTTCATAGCACAGTAGTAAAGTAAAATTCACGAAGTAGTATTTTTCTTGACTTCATACATCACTGAATTTAAAATAATTCCCAGGTGATAGAGCGCTCTCATAGCAGAATTAGAGGCCCATTTAGGAGCACTCCCGTACCAACATTTGTTGCAGAACCAACTTCTCAGTCAAATTCATTTGTCGGAACTGAAGAGTACATTGCTCCCGTACAGCAACTTCTTTTTCCTTTTGAATACAATGGCAGTTCATATTCAAGAAATTAATATCTTCCGGGACATAAAAGTTCACTCTAAATAATTATATGTCATTTAATACTTTCAGGAAATTATAACAGGCGGTGGACACAGCAGTGCTATTGATTGGTGGGCTCTTGGTAACATTTATATACACTGAAGATCTGAACTATTAGGATGTTAACTTATTCACCATTTCTCTAGATTTAGTCCAAAATATTTTATTTTCCAGGTATTTTGCTCTATGAAATGCTTTTTGGACGCACACCATTCAGAGGAAAGAATAGACAAAAGACATTCGCCAACATCTTAAACAAAGATCCCACTTTCCCAAGTAGAATTCAGGTTAAAACCATACCTTAAATTCTTTCCTCACGTACTCTTCTTGGGGGGTTGAACCCCTTCATTGGGTGATTGCCTGATTGGGCGACATGTTCTGCTACCACATGAGGTGCAATGTGCATGCCCACCAATTCACCATCAAATGTGTTGCAGAAGTAACTTTTTGAGTTGTTTTTAGAGATATTACCCGAAATAGGACTAAAAAAGTTTGAAAATTCTAAAATAGGACTTCCATGTTTTTATTCCCAAAATAGGACTAATTACTGTCATGTTTTGGCAGTACCAGACTTCAAACATGGCAGTATTTTCCAAATTTGGCAGTAATTAGTCCTATTTTGGGAATAAAAACATGACAGTCCTATTTTGGAATTTTCAAACTTTTTTAGTCCTATTTCGGGAACTTTCCCTTGTTTTTAAGGTCATGTGGTTTTCCATTGTCGGAAAACATTAACTGCATTGGAAGACATAAAGTTTTCATCTTCAAAATTGGGCTCCCGGCTAAACCATACACAAGAAAATCAAATGAAAAAAGGAATTATGTTGTGAGTTCTGAGAATTTTGGATAGGGACAGCACTAGGGATGTCAAAAAAACCCGACCCGCAGTGACCCGCCTTGGCCCGAGACATTTGGGGCGGGTCCGGCCTGCCCCGTCTTCCAAATGGGGCGGGTCCGCCCCGCCCCGCCTAGACAATGGGGCGGGTCCGGGTATTAGTAATGACCCGTGCCGCCCCGCCCCGACCTGCTCAATACGTAAGCATACATACTTTTTCTTAAATTATATTACAAATATACTTCAACATACATATGTGTGTTTACAGTAAATCATAAATTCTTTGATCTTATAATTTATTAATACATATATTAGAATGAGATGAACGACGGATTATTAATGTCTTCTTTATATATAGCATTTTAATACATATGTTCAATTATTAGTATAATTAAATAGATTAACTATTCAATTCTGAGTAATTTTTTTTTTAATTTTTGAAATTTTTAGGGTATCATGAATTTGATTTAATATATTAATTTTTAATTATTATTTAGAGATAAACTTTATGTAGATTCAATTGGTAACAATTTCCCACAAATAAAAATACATACTAGTTAATTAGGTTACAACGGGGCGGGTCATGGGTCAACAAGTTTGGACCCGTGCAGGTCACGGGGCGGACCGGCCCCGCCCCGCCAAGTCACGGGGCGGGTCTGGGTCTTGCAGTACCCGCCCCGCCCCGACCCATTGTCATGCCTAGACAGCAGTAGTATAGGAACATGTCTTCTTTAGTTTTTCTTTTCCTTGTACTCCGAGAATTTTGGATAGGGACAGTACCAGTATAGCCATGGGCGGATTTAGGGGAGGGTCGGGGCGACATCTCCTTGCACTTTCAAAATTTTCAACTATATACATATAATGTTTTTATGAATTATCATACTTTAATTGGATATATACATGTTTGCCTCTCTTAACTTTTAGTTTTCAAAATTAATTTATAGCTTGATGTAATGTAATACAGAGTAATTAATAGGAGATGTAAATGGAGAAAAATCTAAAATAATTTATCTTTACTTGACAAATAAACAATATAACAACTCATTGATTTAAGACTTAGGTCTATAAAATATCAAGCAATATTAAATACCAGACACACCAGTTAAACTGGTTTCAGATAATGTGAAGTGAACCTCAAATATAATTTTGTGTTTGACATTAAAATTACACAATTCATTTAGTTCATATTTTTTAAAAAGAATTTGTTGCACAAGTACAAACTTTTAATTAGTCTAGCATTAATACAAATATAATATTGTATGCACCATCTATATGAATTAGCAAAATAAAATCATTAAAAATAAAAAATCTCAAAAACATACTATTGTACTATTAAAGCACTCCTTGTGGCTTGCAAACACTCATGGTAGATAAAAAGAGTAACTCAAAAAATAATTCTTTATTCTGATAAGATTGATACAGTTAAACAAGACATAAATCATTTAAAAAGTATTGATCACATAGACTCTTTATCATCGCATAATTTGATAAAATGTTAACCAATTAATATCAAGTATTTTTCTTTTAATTTGATTTGTCAATTTTTAGACTTTAATGTACTAATACTATTTTCCAGAACACTTCAATTATAAAATTAAAGTTATTTTTTTCATTGTGTAAACTTAGAGTGTAGACTGTGTAGTAGATTTAAATGTCATGTATCTGCTAATGATTTTTTTGAATAAAATGTATGCAAAGTTTTCGCTGGCGAAAAAAAAACCACACCGCTTGACCTAAAATCATGGACCCGTCCCTACTAGTAGCTGATGATTTTTTAACTAGTTGATATTTCAGTTGAGCCTGCCAGCAAGGCAGTTAATTCAAGCACTGTTAAATAAAGATCCTGCCCGCCGCCTGGGATCAAATGGCGGTGCAAACGAGATCAAAGAGCATCCATTCTTTAGGGGAATAAACTGGCCTCTGCTCCGATGGATGGTATTAACACTTCCATACCTTGTCGAAAATTCGAAATATGTAGCACAAAGATTAAGAGTCTAATTGGAATGCTCGTTATGATCTACTGCAGAGTCCACCTCTACTGGAATCACCTCTTCAGTTAATGGGAGAAGAAACAAACTCCAATGAAGTAGACTGTGATGATGAGAGTGCGTTTGTCCATTCAATGGACTTCTTCTAGCGGTCTGTAGTTCTCTACTCATGTTTATTAACATCTCATCTGCAACTTCCATAAACAATGTGGCTGATTTTGCATACCCCACCCTCCAAATCCTTCAATCCAGCAGAACAGGACTGGAGATGTATGTGTTGGGTGTGTTTCTGAAAATAAAGAAAATTAATTAAATAAATTAATCAAATAAAATGACTAGAGAAAAACAAGAAAGGAGATGAATCAGAATTAGTCAAAGCTCGTGATACGCACGATGTCCTTAAAACGTATTTGTTGCCTCCCACGGTGCTAGGAGCGTTGCAACAATCGTTTCCCAGGATACGATGACTACGAACTAATGTTTGAGCACACAAACAAAAGTTCCAGCGAACGAGAACACAGTATGAACACTGAGGAATTTTTCAGAATGCTAGCAGTGTGTTTTTAGAGCTAAAACGTGTATGGATTCGTGTAAGAACCTGTGTTGTTGCAAACCACCTGCCAGCCTTTATATAAGAGGATTTGTTGTGTGTAAATGGTGAATTAATGGACCTGAACGTTGGACATCAATGACCAGTCCGTTGGGCATTGAATCGTCCATGAACTGTCCATTTAACGCTGCATTAAAAGATATAAACGTTGGGCATTAATTGTTGTAACGTTTCAGAAGCGCGACAGAAGACCTCCATCAGAACACCCCGGGAGGGGTTCTGATCGGAGGCAAATCAGAAGACCCCAACTCTGATCCGCGGCCATCAGAGTACCCCCAACTCTGATAGGCGGCCATCAGAATACCCCATCTCTGATGGGCGGCCATCAGAATACCCCATCTCTGATGGGCGGCCATCAGAATACCCCATGAGGGGTTCTGCCATCAGAAGACCAACAAGGTGTTCTGATCCGTAGACTTCTGTCCGAGCACTTCTGCCGCTGGGAAAAAATTAAACGTTTCGGGAAGAAAACAAAAATTAATCGTATCTCTTGAGAGATAGATTTTTGGACGACATTCGTGTCCGCAGGTCGCCCGCGCACGCAAGTCGCAGTTTTTCTTCTCCGATTTCGGGATTTGATTTGCACCCCCCCTGCGCGCGTGGAGAGAGCCTTTACCCTTAGGAATCTTAACTCCATAAGGGGAGAGTCCCTTTATAAAGGGTTGCAAATCCCTTGGGTTTTCCGGTGTGGGAAATTAACACACTAGAAACCCATCCTTTTTCCCAGTTTTTCCATTCTAACGGGTAAACTTCGAAAAGCGATTTCTCATTCACCCGTTATCCGTTTTGAGCGTACCATATATCGAATTGTAGCCCTTAACAAGGAGAATCCGAAACCACTTTGACCCGACCCAAATCGGAAGTGGACCCCACTCAAAAAATTGCCCCAAAATAGCCATTTAATGCAATTTTTCACACATTTTTTCCAACAGTATGGACTCAATTTCCTGTTAAGTCATTGGTATTAATTTGCATACTCTACTCTTCTTATCAATCAATCCCAACTGTTGGTCATGTTCCATGATCTGCATGTTGGTGTTTGCTATATTGGACATGAGTACATGATCATAACACATATTTCAACTCACCTTGTTTTGTTTCATGACATTTCCCATTCATGTTAAAATAACCTATGATGGTGACAGTTTTGGAGTTTGCATCTCATTGTTCTTTTCATGAAGGTTCAGGAGGAAGGGCATGCAGCACATAATATTGCCATTGTTTGCATAAACTTATAGTGTTAATTAGTTTTATTAATTAATGGGCACTATACATTTAATGCAAGTATGCAACCGGTCCCAACTAGTTGGGATTAGGGTGATGATGATGATGATCCAACAATGCATTCCAGGAAAGCCAGTCATAGACTTAGTTGTATGTATGAGCTATGTACGGAACGAAGGGGAAAGTCATTAGAAGAAGCAGAGCCATTTACATTTCTAGAGAACATCTTGTGGAAATGGTAATTTGTACTCCCATATCAGTTTGGACTTTGGAGAACTTGAGGGAAAGATGTAAATTGTAAAATAGCCGCTAGCCAGCAATAGAACATTAAAACACTAATAATTGATATGTTTCGGGGAAGAGGCTGATCACCAATTCATCCTCAAGCAATGCCCTAGTCTTGATGTTTTTACTTGTTTCAGTTTCAAGCCACACTTATGTAATTGATCGATTCTGCTTCTCTTAAAAAAACAAAAGTGGAATCAGATTCTCAGGAGTGGTCTCCTCCAACTTCGGAATCACATAGAAGTATTTCCATTCTGACGGACATATCTGCTTTTGCTCCTTAAATGAGTAGAAGTGGTTTTATGAAGCAGATCCATTTCATTTTCATTTATCACAGTGATGAAGCAGATCCAAACACTCCTTAAATAGGCTAGACTAGACCACACTTAGAAAATACTCCGTAGTAAAATAACAACAAACACATATATACACATTAAATCGATCATATCAAACTTAGATAGATTAAATTAGATCATCAAACCACGTCAATAAAGTATGATCCAAGTATGTCTCAATTCAAGACCTACCATAATTCTGACTTAAAAAACTTAGGAGTCATTTAATAGACGAGACTTAGATAATACGAGTAATAAACTAAACTAAACGGATCCAAGCACATTGAAATAGACCCCACAAGTAAAAACTCCAAGTAGGTTTCAAATGAAAGTTGACAGGTCTCACATAACGTTATTGAATTTGAGGTGATGTGACTTTTTGCATGACTCCAACCTTATATATTATCTAGGGAAAAGTGTCAAATATGCCCCTCTATTAATACGAAAAAGTCAATTAAGTCCCCGAATTCAAAAAACATCCAATTAAGCCCACAAATTAAATATAACGAGACAAAACAGTCCTTTTAGCAGGATATTAACCGTTCCCAGTTAAGTTGCATGTGTGGCAAATGATGTGACATGCTTTTACATTTTCTTTTTCTCTTTTTATCTTACTTTACTTTTTTCCTTATCTCCTTTTAACCGCTTAATTACCTGCTAAAAGGACTGTTTTACCTCGTTTTTTTATAATTCGTGAACTTAATTGAGTGTTTTTTGAGTTCAGGGGCTTAGTTGACTTTTTTGTATTAGAAGGGGGCTTATTTGACAGTTTTACCTATTATCTATCTACCATTCCTTCACGATCGCCTTGAAAGACTGGGAGTCAACATCCGACCCAATTTCCACAAGAATGACCTTTGTGTTGTTTCATGGAAAAAGTGACATGCATACGTATCTGCTTAGGCTTCACGAAAAGAGTCGGAGATTGAAAAGGTAGGTAAGGTCGGGGCTGATAGGTTGCCGTCATGCCCTCGATTTTGATGGGCCACCGGCGGGCGAATCAGCGCATGCACGTACGTAGGGAGGGTTGACATTTCGGTTCACAACACCACATCATATAGAGACCCAACATCTCTTTTTGCATAGGTGTAAATCACTAAATCATGTAACACGGAGTACTTAATCTTAAATGAAAGTATTTGATTTGAATTTGTCTAGTGTGGTAAATGTTTGGTCGTTGTATATTTTTTAACTGTGAAAGTCTAGCTAGTCTGTCTGCTATGGTATGAACTGCTCTAATCTGGTTTGGTTTGAGAATGAAATTAGTCTAAACAAAAACATCTTTAAACCTCTATCACTTAAAATTGATTAAAATTGAATTGTGCGTTGAATAACAAAGTACGGAGTATAAAAATGTGTGTTTGTGATTTTGAAGAGAAGTGAAATATGGTTTTGACGGCTTTATGGGACAGAAGTGTAAAGTCCTACTCGTAATATTCTATCATAATAAGGTTCCATTATAGGTTTATTTGTTTGACTTCATCGTTTAGTTTTACCTTTTAAGATGAAGCAATGACTTAGGGTTGGTTTGCAACTGCTTTTAAAAAAGCACTTCTCAGCTTTTGGCTTTAAAAAAGCACTTATTTTTTCAAACACTACAACTTTTATTTTTCTCGGCTTCCGCGTCAAAAGTGCTTTTACTTTTTCTATTACACAAAAAGCACTTATTTTACCAAACACTACCCACTTTTACTTTTCAAAATCACTTTTTTCTCAAACACTATCAACTTTTATTTAATCACTTCTCCCCATTTCATTAAAAAAAGCACTTTTTTAAAAGCAGAAGCTGTTGCAAACAGACCCTTAATGATGAGTGCATCACCTTTTCTGCCAAATCGATACACCGGAAGGTCCGGAAGACATTGTGTCGTAGTAATATGCGTATAATGTTTTGCACCCACACGGGTAGCTCAATTAATCGAGGTGGCAAATTAGAGAAATGATCAATGATCGAAACTCACAGCGGCGTGTAAAGGTTACAACTCTTGTGTCCTGAACTGAACCTGTGGTCTTGAACTGACCAGTCACCAGATTTATAACGTTTGAGCCTTTGGGGTTGGATCAGTGGCGGAGCCAGAAGTCTATAGTTAAAGGGGCCGGTTCTTGAAAATTTTACTTTGCAGAGGCCAAAGTTTAAAATATATAACATATTTTCTATAGATTAAACGTATTTATGCATAATATATGCTTAAGATTTTTTTCCCTCCAGTCCCTCCCTGTCTCCACCCTGGGTTGGATATTCAACCTATTTGAGAGGAATGTGTATAATGTTTTACGTAGTATGATAATTTAGGTTTCGTCTAACAAAGTGCCTTATTATCACGCCTACATTTGTGGCTTTTCACGTCTCTGATAGCCAAACCAATGTTGGAGTTGAACGTCATTTTCACATTTATTTACAAACTCTTCTTAATACGAAGTACTTGTATTAGAGTTTTCATCTTTTTTTTAATCATCACTTCGAGTCAGTGGCGGTCTGACGGAGCCAAAGATGTCAGGGTAGGGATGACGGGGCTTAAAAAAGTTATATTGGGAACTCAAATTTAAAAATTAAACTATAGCTTTTACTGCTCATAAATAATTAGAAAAAACCTTTTTTAATCTACTTTTACTGTTATACACACTTTTATAAACGTTTGTGAATGCTATTTTGTATGTCTGACAGACAAAATACGTTTTGACTATGATAGACAAAAAAGTCATCACAAACATGTCCACAAATGTTTACAAGAATGATTGTTAATACATACGGAGTATATATTTACATTAAGGGTATGTTTGGTTTAAGGAATGTCAGATTACCATGAGAATGTCAGATTGCGGGTATGTTAGATTAATGGGAATGTATTTAATTTATTCCCACTTGTGTTTGGTTAACATCAAGGGAATGTCAAATTGCTGGGTATGTTAAATTGATGAATTACTTTTATGCCCTTTAATTTATTTATTTTTTATTTTTTTTTATTTTTTTATGCCCTTTAAATATTTTCTCTTAACGCAATAAATCTATTACAACATACATCTAAAGTGGTTAAAATTAAAGACAAAATGAATATCTTAATATTAAATATAATCAAACCTAATTGAATTATTTTTAAGTAAAATATGTTTAATTGTAAAAAGTTGTAGATCCAATACAGAAATGAAAAAACACTTTGTTCAAATAGTAATATAAATATATTTATTATCATCTCAAAAAAATTAATATTTAAAAAATATCAAGTTAATCGTAAAAGTTGTTTTCAAAATATAGAAAAAAGGAAAAATTACTTTAAATAATATCAACTATCATCCGTGAACCAATAATAATACAAACTTCGAAAATAACTTTTAATAATACCAACTATTTGAATGTAAAACAAAAATAATATGGAGTCATTTTTTGACAAAAAATTTGATCATTTAAAACATCAAAAGCTAATGACAATCCATCAAATAAATGATATTTGGAAATATATTCACTAATTAGATATTTTTATATAAATTTTTGATGAGTTAGATGGTTGAATTTTTAGTAAAAAGATGCCCTATATCATTTGTGGTCTATATTCAAATAGTTGGTATTATTAAAACTTATTTTCAAAGTAAGTATTATTCTTGATTCACGAAAGATAGTTTGTATTATTTAAAGTCATTTTCCCTAGAAAAAATGACCAACTTTGCTATTGAATTTTGAATTCCGCTCATCAAAACTTAAATAATCTATAACTCTTATAACATAAATACCTTTAAAAATTTAAATGATAAGGAAAAAAATTATGCAAATAACGAGAATAGACATTCAAACATAAGCAATACTTCGTCCGTCCCACCTAAAAGGCGGTTACACAATTTATGATGTTCGACAGACCATGAAATTAAAACAACCGATCTATGTCAATAATAAGATTATTTTTAGTAAATAAAATTTACATATTTAGAGACTACATTAAAAGTTTTATAAAGTAAAAAAAAAATCAAAGTTGATAACAATTGAATATATAAAGAAATTAAATGAAAAGAGATCATTAATTAGGGTATTTTCGGAAGAAAATTAGATCACTCCGGGAATGTGAGATAACCTAAGGCATGGACGGATTTAACATTCCCATCCATATTATATTACATTCCCGGGAATGTAACTTTCCTGATTTTTTTTCAAACCCGTGAACCAAATAAGGGTATCTAACATTCTATATACGCATCACATTGTTGGAAATTTTGGGGTATTTCAAATGAATAAGTTTTTAATTATTTTCTGAGAAATTTTATCACGACTTTAAAGTCTATTTTATCCCTTATTTCTATAGTCCTAAAATTACTTATCATGGCTTACAAGATTTTTCTTCTCCACATTAAAAAGAATGAATCAAATTTTAAGCTAGGCTTCTCATGGTTGGCAATGTTCTCTAACGGAAAGTCATCATAAATTCATAATATCAAACACTATTAATTAATATATGGCAATGTAAAGGTTTTTATCCTATCGTCACTAACATTTTTAAAACTTATTGTGCATTAACTTTTAATGAGTAACGTATAAGTGTTTTAACTTTTGCAATGTATATGAATTGTATATATATACCTATGCTGCTATGCATCAAGAGAGTAACACGTGTGTAAATATATACTCATATATGTATGCTGGAATGGAGAGAGCTTTGGGAGTGGAATACATGATTTATAAATATATACTTGTGTGTGTGCCTCCTATGTGATCAGAAGAGCTCAAATGTGAGAAGAGTTAGCTTCATGATATTTGGAAAATACATGGTCCTTATTATATACGGAGTATATAAATAACATAAAAATATTTTATTGCTGGGTTCATATACTAATTTTCTTCTCGTTAGTTCTGTTACCGGTCTTGTACCGAAGGGCTCGTTATATCTTGGGGGAAATTTCCGAACGCCGGAAATAATTCCTTAGGACAGCGTCTGACGCGTC